ACATGTTCTCAATCATTTTTTTTCTACGATATGTATTCTAAATGATATAATTGATCCTCAGGAATTAATTCCAAACCTGAGGATATACAGAACACTAGATAAAAACAAATAAGTATCCAATATAAAGGACGTGGGTATTGTTACATAGAAAATCTAAAGCAGGCTAATGACAGCTGAAGTAGAGATGGTCAGAGCAGTGAACAAAGAGCTCGTCACTTCTAAACTCTCTGATACCAGGAGTTGCTACCTTGGGCTACAAGACCCACTGATCTAATTAGTGTTTGCAAAATACAAATAAGGCACGACTAATGCTTTCCCCTCCCCCATTTTTTTTCTAAAATCCACTGTTTTACAGTTATTACTAAATAATATTTCAGCTTTTCCATTCTGGGAAAAGTACAACAGAATGACCAAGCAATGACAAATGTCAATTATTGCCGAGCTTTAAAGCAAGAGAGGGAGGAATTTCCCCCACTTCTAACCAGAACAAACCTTCGTTTGTGTTGGAAAGAGAAGCAGAAAAGTGGGCTAAGGGTGAAGACAGATTGTTGAGACATAAAATTAAGTGAACATGTTGCACATGCAGACTACAAAAGCAATATTAGGTGCAGGTTAATGAAACAGTCAAGGTAGAGGAGTTCATGGCAGAGACATTTAATACATTTCAACATGTTTTTCTTACAGCACATAGTGAAAGTATCAATGATAATTCTGAGGAAACTTCCAAGTCCATGATGTTCCACATCCTTGTACCTGGATGTCCAGAACCTTTACTTGAGTGACCAGCCATTCTCTTTAATTTTTCACTGGATAGCCCCAAGGTTTAAAAATGACAGATTGAATCCAGGACGCAATCAAGGTATTATAAATATCCCTCTCCAACTTCTTCCATGGCTTAGTTCTATAAAAATTAAATTTTATAGACTTAACTTTATGCACGGTAGTCAGTTATTCTAATTTGTTTTCAAAATTTGGACCAAGCAAGATGTAAAGACATAAATCAAAGTAAGTATATTTACTGCAGAATATAATCTCAATTTAAAAATGGAAACTGGAATCTTAAAAAACCCCACCAAAACCACCCCCGACTAAGTTATAAACACAGAATTAGAAATATTTGTACCATTCTTTTCTGTCAGAATCTGGCATTAAAAAAACCCAACAAACCGCAAATCAAAACAAAACACCCCTCACAAAAGACCCCAGGCTTTAGGTACCATTTCTGTTAGCATGTAAAGAACCATCTAGATTCCCCTGTTCTTGCACTAAGTCAAGAATGAGACTCTTGGGCAATTGTCTTTATAAAATATAACAACAAGCACCACAGCATATTTTCTTTGAAAACATTAGGACACCAAAGGGAACCATAGAAACTGGAAAAATACATCATATAGTCTTTACCATAAAAAAACCACCAAAAAACAAGACTCCAAAACCTTTCTTTGCAACTCTTTACAAAAACTATCCAAGATAATGGCCTTTGAATCCAAGAGTAACAAAACCAAAGACACTCCAGCCTGAGTTACAGAAAGAAACATGTTATTTCATATATTTACCTTTTTTTATTTCTTAGAAAGAGTTAAAATAAAAAAAATACTCAAACTATTTTTGGTCTTCATTCATCCACATAATCTAGAAGAACTCCTTTTCAAAGTAAACTTCAAGTACTGAAGAACACACATAAGCATGGTCAGAAGTGCCTGAAAATGGTGACAAAAATGGAACTGCCCAATCAGGCAGCCATACCATGCTAAATCAGTGACTCTCAGGAAACAGACTTTTCTTGAAATAAAGTAATTAAACTTTACAATTTAAATCAAACAGTTATCGAAGGAGTCAAAATTGTTATCTATTCAACAGCATTACCACAACCAATGGGGTGGAGGGCTTGCCCACATTCGTTTAACAAGACAAAACCTTTCTTCTCCTGCAAACATTTATGAGTATGAGCATATGCAAGCTTTTAGTATTTGAAAGTGACACAGTAGAATGTGAGAAAAATAGAGAAGAGTATGAATCATACGAAAGCATTCTTTAACTCCTATTATCTCAACACAGATTTTCAGAACGTGCAATCTTTGTACGACTGCTTGCAAACATCTTTTTCTACTATAGGTCAACCAGGGAAAAAAAAAGTTGGTTTACAGAAGCTTGGATTCTACTGTTTTTGTTTGCTGGTACACTAGGCTTCCCCCCTCTCTGTTTTCTGCATAGCCAGACTACTCTGAACTAAATGCACAAGAACAATATATTGATGACTTTCCATAGCTGCTGTTCCAAAACTGTACTAACTACTGTAGCCATTTAAGTAGAATTTCTCAGGATATTGTTGCTTGTTAAAAAGCACTTAAGCATAAAAAAAAAGGCTCAGCTCCAAAAATTCTATTACAAAAGACATTGGTATTCCCTATAATGCATTTTTTGTAATACTACTAAAGTCACTGTTTCTCTGTACTGAGCTGAAGCAAGTACAGAGGTGTAACACTCCTCCTGAAAAGAATAACTTCGTTCAAAGAACAAAGTGAAGTGGACAAAACGTGGGAAGAGAATTACTGTAACAGCAGCCCTCAAAGGAGCAGATTAAGAAGCCTCCCTTCCTATTACCAAAAGGAATTCAGTAAACAGAACCTCACCAATATCTGTGAAAAAAAATTAAAAATCATCAAACCTCCTCTGATTTCAAAAAATAAAAGGAATAGACCCTATCATACCTTATATATACAAGAAATAGAAGAATTAACATTTAATTTTTATTTTGATGTGTCCAGGTAGTACAGAAAACAACTAAGTTAGCTACTAAACCATTCTTTGAAATATAAAATAAACTCATGCTGTTAAAAACATTTATCAAAATTAAATTAACTTAAAAATATATTTATTGTTAATATGCAAATTAATTCTTTAAATTTGTAACAAAACCTAAAGATTATGGAAGTGGACCACATTAAACCACTGTACATGCCACAATTTCAATATACAGCAGTTTAATAATAACTAAAGAACAGAAAAGAAAAAAGCATATGACTTCCTAGCATTAAACATCAAACAGTAGTATCTTCTTTTTAAGTCAATATTAAATTAGCAGAGAAACTACTTGCTGTTATGGTAGTCTGACCCAGCAAAAAATCCTAGAAAGTAACAAGTCTTCAAACACAGCATATTTACTAACAAAATCCTCACAAATAAAATATAAAAGTAGCTATGCATTCAATATTTAGAAAGTTACCCTAATGCAGTTGAATATAGGTTTACTATATGGTTTTGTTTACTACAAAGACTTAATTCTGGAAGAGAAATTCCTCAAGAGGGAAATCTAGTCTTCCAGTTTCTGCAACAATGAAATAATTTTAGTCTGCACAGTGGTGTTCATTTTTGAGCTCATATTAAATATTAAATACAAACAAGCACAATTTACTGGGAACTTTAGTTAACAATATTATTTGCTAGTTATTAGAAAAAATATATTTTTATATTCATAATTTTTATGTGATGTAACTTTTCAAAATTTACCATTTCCTTTATACTGCAGAAAATATTCTTAAACTTAAGTTAGATGAAATCATATTTCTAAGCAAGCATTCAAAAATAATAAAAATAACTTTTGATCTGTGACCTTTTAATGTCACATTTGAAGGCTAAGGTTTAAATGTGTGATAAGACAAGCTTATAATAGAAACACTGTCATGTACTGGCAGAATTCCCAGCTATATGAAGTTGCATAAAACAGAGAAGTAACAACGCAGCAGCACGTTTCCGGCTACCACCTTGGCAATCTGAATCCAACTAATACGACCCACAAAAGATTGATATCCACTTTCTATACACTACATAACAGACAGAGAAAAATTAGGATTATAACTATACAAAGTGTTATCTTATTCACCATTTACAATTAACACCCAATTTGTAGCTCTGAAGTCATTCAGAGCAGTGGAGATTCTTTGGAGTGCCTCTCACGTTCACACCATTGCAAACTGGTTCAGCAATTTTGATTGCATGGGTTTTGTTTAATCCCTTAAAGAAATGAACCCCCCCAAAAGACTTGCTTATTTCTGCAAACATAAGCGGGGGGGAAATGAACTTACGATAAACTGATTTTTATGGAGCATGAGTTTCAAATAGCAAGCATCCTAATATACTATTGATAACTTTGCCTAGTTTGAGGCATTCCACTTTGCCCTTTTGTTTAACTTGCTAGGTTTGTGTGCTCAGAACAGGTTTACATTTGAACAAATCAAAGTAAACTTTCTGACATTGGGTATGTAAGAAGTATCTATCCAGTGCTTGATTGTGAAGCTGAAGATGGTAGTGCTTTAACTGCTATAAGATGTAGTTAGAAGGGCACTATCACAAAGCATGTCTAGTGACTGAAATCTCTCTTTGAAGATACACAGCAAGCAGAAAGACATTCTTTCAAACTACAAGGAACAGAAGCCTAAGACGAGTGTTTCAATGTAAAAGAAGAAAGATCCATGTCATGTAGGATTTTCTGAAGGGCAAAGAAAAAAAACTTGTGGAGAACTCAAGAATAGAGGAAAGGCAGTACAAAAATATGCTAAACAAACAGTCATCTAAGAAGTACAAAGCCCTTTTTTGGAAGTAATTTTAAAATGGACCTGGCTTAACATGTTAACATAAACAATGTTTTAACTCTTGAAGCACCTTAAGACCTGCAACTGATAAATTTATTAAGAATAACAACCATCTTTCAATAGTCAATGCAGCAGCAGCAGTCTGCCACCTAACTTCAAAGTCACACTGTAAATAATTAAATGCTTTCCACTTACATTGCTATATCAGGAGAAAAAGAACACAACTTGCTACAACAAGTTGCACACACAATCCTACAAATTGCATTAGGAAAAAACCACACCACAATTAAATCCATTTAAGTTCTCCAATTAGGCAAAACCAGAAATATTCTTTTGACATTAAACAAAAATCAAACATCAATATGACAACTGAATTATATAGATTATTCCACCTGTGTTTGTACTTGCCTAGCAATACTTTAGCATCTTCCACATCAAAATCTCCGTCTCCATCAGCATCATATATCCCAAGCTTGCCTAGAAATTCAAAGAGGAAGAAGAGAGAATTAGGGTTTCAGCAGTTTGTTTCCAGCACAGTGATTTCAATGTGCAATACTTGACTGTCAATGCTAGGTTGTAACCATATTTTATTATTTTTTTAAATGATTTAACTGCACTCTTAACCACATTTTAAATTTCCTGCAAAATATTACAAATATTTTAAGTTCCTTTCTGCATTTCCTAGACTTTGACTGAACACAAGTTAGTCTTTTTTTTCCCATACATTTGTTTTGGTGCTCACAGATTTAAAACTAATCTGTAATTATGTGATGTGCTTTACGTGAATGCGTTTTTCTCAGAACAAAATTTAAGTTCACAAGGAACATTCAACATGTTTGAGAGAAAAGAAATAATAAACCAAGAATTAATCAAATAATCACCATTTGTTTACTGAATATATGCTTCTTGCCATTCTAAATTCTCAGAAAAAATAAGTATATAATTTTTAGTGCTAAGTCAATAGAAGGTAAGCAACCTACCTTCTGGACAAAGGAAAAACAGTCATAATTTTTATCAACAACTATATAACATTCACTGCAGACAAAAAAGTTGTCCATCCTTTTATAAGTGACTAATACATCAGACTTCTCACCTTTATTTTTGAAACTGCAGCTCTACCAGCACTAAGTATATGCAAAAGGAGAACCCAGTTTCTATTAAAAAAGAATTTTTAGCATAGAATCGTGGTATCCAGGATTAGAAGCATCCTAGGATCACCGAGCTAATTAGTTTTGATAAAATTCAGCCATAACTTTTAATAGGATTGAAACTCTGCACACTGTTTGCATAAGAACTCTAAGTCCTTATAGTTTGACAGTTTATTATTACACTGGTCATTCTCTAAATGGAGGCAGAACTTGATTGTTGTTAAAATAAATGAAATACAGTACTTAGTTCACACTTAGGTCTAGAATAGACAAAAATAAGGCCATCTGCATTGTACAGAAAGAATCAATTAGAAAGTATCTTTATTGGTTTATGGTTAAACATGGCAGACTGGTGGAATAAATGTAATTCTCTAGAAATAAAAAGAACTGTATCATCTTCAAAACCATGGAGAATGAAACAGATGAGAAATGACTGAGTTTCATGTCGTAGAATAGTAATTCTCTAAAAAATAAAAAAACCATAAGTAAACCAAAATTCTTAGCCAAGGGACTGTAAAGCAAGCTTATTTCTCTAATATCCTACCTTGCAGAACCTCTGACAAGTTATAACGGAAATCCTTTGCTTTGGCTGCATGCATGGTAAAAATATAGAAACCATTATTTGCATCACTAGACCCAATTAAGTTTCAAACCCGAAGTTCCTCTTAAAATCAGTCCAGATCAAAAAAGCATGGTACCAATAGATTTATAAAGCTTGTAAACCAGCAGTTGCAAAAGTGCTTGTTGGATCCTACAACATTAGGGACAATAGCTCTTCCTATGGACATATACCTTGAAATTTGAGATATTAATTTTCACCCTTAGATATTATATTAACAATACTATTTTAACATTGTTGTATTAAGATACAATTATCACTGTTATAAGCTTAACACTGAGGTCATTCAACACGTCATTCATGAGAGGACAACTGGTTAGTTGTCCTGACTCTATAGGCAACACAGTCCATTAGAGGAGTTGTAACATCAGCTGCCCACCTTCAACCATTGCTGCAAGTTTCTGAAAGCTTAAATTGAAACAATTTAATTGAAACATATTTACCTGACATTTCAAATGAACTACAGTATACGTTACAAAGAAATCCAGATCTATCCTTAGACATTTCTTCAATTCTTTAATAAATGCAGTATGTTAATAACCTTTTTCAGTCTTATGAGAATCCCATTTTAACATCATAATAGAGTTCAGCATTAAAATGTACTTTTTGAACTATGTTGTCTATTCTTACCATGTAGGTCATTTGCAAACACTGCAGTAGTCAAATCGGCTCTCTAGAAATTTAAAGTGGCCTCCCTTTAATGCATATCATAATAATTATTGCAAGCATCTTAAGATTTAAAATTCTTACCTAGAACTTCTTCATAATCTACAAGTTCAAACCAGACAACTGCTACTGATGTCCAAACTCCCAGCAAAGCTATTACCATAAACCAGGTGAAAAATGAGCTTCCAGAGAGGCCTTCTTTCTTTCCGTTCTTGCTTCCATGCTTAGCCTCTGTTAAAATAAGGCAAACAAGTAGGAAAAATGGATTTGTATAAGAGTTAGAAAATTATGTTTGAGGATATAATTATACATCCTGTTTCTTATGACTACACAGAATACAGGACATTTGAGTTAACGCTTTTTTATTTTTTAAGCTTCGCCACTGTTACTTGCTTTTCATATCACTGCGAATTACAGTGAGAAGCTCGATGATTGTCTAAGTAACAGCCCTATAACCAACCAAAGACCAAAACTCCACAAGTAATTTGTCTTAACAACGTAGTTGGAAATCCCCCTCTTCCTCTCCTTTAGTGTGTATTTATACAGAGCTTAACATTTTTGAGATGCTTTGCATTTGTGCCAACAGTTCTCAAACTGCCACCAGAGGGCAATATGATCAGCAGAAACAGTTCAGACGAAAAGTGTTTCCTCTGAAGCAAGTTTCAAAGCCTGTTGAATTAGCTCACAGAATCAACATGAAAATTCAAATAATCTAAAAAGGCTCTAAAATCTAAACCATGTTAAGGGTCAGACTCCAGGTTCAGACACTCTACTAACTAAAAATATCTTCCCTGTTGCTTAGAATGAAGCAGAGATTCACTACATGCTGAATACCTTTAGATTTCCAGTCCCACGAAACATACAACTGAAAGGAAGACACAGAGACTTAATGCAAATCACAGCTTCATTTATAACCGCACATATGGAAAGCAAGTGTATATAATAATACAGTAGTTATAAACAAACCACTGGGAAAAGAAAGACCTCAACCTAGCATACGGGTAGGGGTTTTCAAATGGGCATCACCGCTAGAGAAGACATAAATTGCTTGGTCCATTGCTTTAGGA